AAAAAAACCCTGAATAGCCAAAGCAATCCTGAGAAGGAAGAATAAAGTGGAGGGGATTACACTCCCAGACTTCAAGCTCTACTACAAAGCCACAGTAATCAGGACAATTTGGTACTGGCACAAGAACAGACCCATAGACCAATGGGGCAGACTAGAGAGACCAGATATAAACCCAAGCATACATGGTCAATTTATATACGATAAAGGAGCCATGGATATACAGTGCAGAAATGACAGCCTCTTCAACAGCTTGGGGTTGGCAAAAATGGACAGCTACATGCAAAAGAATGAAACTGAATTATGGTCTAACCCCATACAAAAAAGTAAACTCAAAATGGATCAAAGACCTGAATGTAAGTCATGAAACCATAAAACTCTTAGAAAAAACATAAGGCAAAAATCTCCAATATAAACATGGGCAGCTTCTTCCTGAACGCATCTCCTCAGGCAAGGGAAACAAAAGCAAAAATGAACACATGGGACTACGTCATGCTAAAAAGCTTCTGTACAGCAATGGACACAATCAGAACAAAAAAGCATCCTACAGTATGGGAGAATATATTTGTAAATGACATATCTGACAAGGGGTTAACACCCAAAATATATAAAGAACTCACATGCCTCAACACCCAAAAAGCAAATAACCCTATTAAAAAATGGGCGGAGGATATGAACAGACACTTCTCCAAAGAAGAAATTCAGATGGCCAACAGGCACATGAAAAGATGCTCCACATCGCTAATTATCAGGGAAATGCAAATTAAAACCACACTGAGGTATCACCTCACACCAGTTAGGATGACCAACATAGAAAAGACTAGGAACAACAAATGCTGGCGAGGATGCAAAGAAAGGGGAACCCTCCTACACTGCAGGTGGGAATGTAAACTAGTTCAACCATTGTAGAAAGCAATATGGAGGTGCCTCAAAAAACTAAAAATAGAAGTACCATTTGACCCGGGAACTCCACTCCTAGGAATTTACCAAAAGAAAACAACTTCTCAGATTCAAAAAGACGTATGTGCCCATATGTTTATCCAGCACTATTTACAATCGCCAAAATATGGAAGCAACCTAAGTGTCCATCAGTAGATGAATGGATAAAGAAGATGTGGTACATTTACACAATGGAATACTATTCAGCCATAAGAAAGAAACAAACCTTACCATTTGCAACAACATGGATGGAACTAGAGAGTATTATGCTCAGTGAAATAAGTCAGGCAGAGAAAGACAAGTGCCAAATGATTTCACTCATTTGTGGAGTATAACAACAAAGCAAAACTGAAGGAACAAAATAGCAGGTGAATCACAGACTCCAAGAAGGGACTAGCAGTTACCAAAGGGGAGGGGTGGGAGAAGGCAGGTGGGGAGGGAGGGAGAAGAGAATTGTAGGGTGTCATGATTTGTGGCACATAGCGTGTGTGGTGTCACGGGGAAGACAGAGTAGCTCAGAGAAGACAAATAGGGACTCTGTGGCATCTTACTATACTGGACAGTGACTGCAATGGAGTATGGGGAGTTACTCAATAAGGGTGAATGTATTAACCACATAGTTTTTCTTGTGAAACCTTCATAAGAGTGTATATCAAATGCCTTAATTTAACATACACAATAAAATAGCCCTCAAAGGCTGCTACTTTCAACCATTTCTCTCACCACTCTATTCATAACTCAATTCCTGCCACACTGCATTTCTCACTCTTCCCCAGACACCAAGCCCCAAAACAATTTATATCATCTTTGCATGTTATTCTTAAACTCTGGAATGGCTTCCAGACTTTCCCTTTTCCACCTAGCAAACTCCTACTCATCCTTCAAAAGCCAGTTTCTTCCTTCTGAATTTCCATAATCTAATAATGTTGTAATCTATCTGTATTATATGTAGATTGAGTTCACCAAAGGGAGAGACTGTCTTCATTAATTTCGTATCTCTAAAACCTAGAAGTGTCTAGTGTGAAGTACAAATGCAAATATTTGATGAAATTAAAGATTAAATGACAAATGAATTAGAAACTTTGTGCAGCTCCTCTTATAAAATTGAGAGAATAGCTGATACATCTGAGAAGCAATATGGCCTATATAACAGCGCACACAGCTGCTTTGAATCTAACTCTAAATGTTCGGCAAATTATTTTCCTCATCCAAAAAACAGGTTTCATAGAGTTGCTACATTCCTCATCTATAAAACAGATTTCACTAAATTGTTACACTGAACAAATGAAAAAATACATAAACATATCTAACACAATACCTAGAACAAAACAGGTACTCAAATGTAAGTTCCCTTTTCTCTCCCCTTTAATTCACAGGATAATTACGGATATCCAATGAGATAATTTGGTACAAAAACAATCAGGAAACCATTACATATCACACAAATTAAATCTCTCACTAACGGGGAAAAAAATCTGAACAGTTCATCCTTGCATTTATTTATGTACCTTTTCTTCTTTCTAGATTTGTAAGAAACACGTGGGGACATCTGCTGGTTTTTAAACATTTCCCCAAATTATGCAATTATCTAGGATTCTACATTTAAAATTTAGTTTAGTACAAACAATTTTAATTCACCTGGTTCAGTGTAAACTATCCTAATTCCTCCAAGATTAAGAAGAAAAAAGTCTACTTATCCTGCTTTAAACTAGTGTCCTTTTCCCTTGCCTGTTTTGGGGTTCTCTAGATTTGTTTTTAGAACATGTTCCTGCAGTTGACTTTAAGTGAATTTAGTAGCATTATTTCATGAATTTGTAAGCATTTGTAATTTAGAAAGTAACACATCTCACTGAATTATGTTCTATCAAAATGCTGATTTTTTTTTTAAGGATAAGCATTTGTTGGCATCAGCTTTTACTGGTAAGTGTTGCTTATTTCTCTGAAACCAGAAACTTTCTACAGAAAATAAATTCAAACACCTTTCTCTACCCACAGACACTGATTTGACATTCCATAAAGAACACAGCATAATTAGTGGTGCTTATTATACACATCAAGGTTAACTTTGAGGTCAAAAAAAGTTCTCTGCTTACACTTACTAAACTGAACCTACTCTGAGAACTTACAAAAATTCTCTTTAAACATCTTTTAATTAATCAGACATATTTATAACTACAATTATAAATTTTCACTTAAAAGGTCTAAAATTGTAGGTTCGAGTTAAATTAACCACAAATAAGTGTAATTCTGGATGTGACTAGGGATTTACAAAATTGGACTAAAATTACAGTGATAACATCTTGTTAATTTATCTGTATTACTAACAACTTGACCTAGAGCAATGAAAAGACTTTCATTTCTTTTTTGTATTTAGATATTCACTAGACATAAAATGCTGAATGTCAACTTTCACTTCCACTTCTGTACTATTTCAAGGAAGCTTTTTTTTTCACTTTCTAGTGTGCACACTGGTCGAATGAAAAACTGCAACAGCAGGAAAATATTTAAATGAGCTTTTTTTAAAAGCAACTTTTTGTTTTTATTAAATGTCATGTTTTTAAAGCACAAAACGACTTAAAATTCTAATCTCCAAAGTATACGGTTTTTAAGCACTCTAAAATGTTTATAAAAAGCATCACAGCACACTAGACATAGTGAATTCATTAATTATCTTCAGCACAGCATTCTAAATGAATCAATATTTCATAATTTTACAAATTGTGACTAATTAGTACTAGAATGCAGGGGAGCACAGCGATTTCTAAGAAAACAATACAAGGGTTCAAGGCATAAAGAAAATTCCAGCGTACAATTTACTCATACAAAATACACTAATATAAAAAAAAGCTAAACTTTTTTTTTTTAAAGCATGCCACAATTCACCACCCTGAAGGGACATTCTCTCTAAATTAGTTTATCCAGTTGGGATTATTCAATTTTATTAGGTAAAAGTTCTCATTACTTTAAAAACAGAAACAGGGTATGTTCCGCTTCACCAAGTGTTACACATTTCGCTACTGTAAGACTTGGGGGTGGGGGTAAATCTTTGGAAACAAAAGGTAATCTGATCCACTCCAGGTAATTACTAAATGCATGCCGACAATATACACAATTCAAATTGCATTTCGGGACACTAAGAGCACAAAAAGGAAGAGAATGTCGTGTCAGAAACTATTTTTATATCAAAAAATATGTAACGAAGAAACCTGGTATACCGAAACTAAAATCTCGCTCAAGGTAAAAAATTCATCTGATTAACCATTTGATAATCTTCTGAAAAGAAAACGTTTAATCAACGTTGTTACAATCACAGTAATTCATCTCATTCAGGTTCTAGAAATCTCAATGTGCTTGTTTCAGGTCTAAATATCTCATTCTCTTACAATCCAGATACCAAAAGGACCTGAAACCTCTCGCAGAGGCGTGGAACACAATCGGCTAGTGCTGTCTGTTTACAAATACGAATCTCAGTTTCCCACGTAAAAGCGTTCATTACCACCACTCCACCGGGGGACGGAGGTCGGGGGACAGAGAAGGCAGCGAGAGCAAGAAACGAAAACCACAGACACACTTCTGCCTTCTCTCCTCCCCATAAGAGCAAGCCCAGAGAAAATATTTATTATGTATTACACGCATGTATATATTTGTTACATATGTTACGTCTATGTCTAAGCGTGGGTGAAAAAGAGCCACACATGACCGACACGAAAGAATGCTCACGCCAATCCCGCTAACTCAAAATCCGCCGCCCGGGTCTACAGGTTTCGGCCCGGGGCCAAGAGTTCCAGCCTCTGTGGAGTTCGGCCCCAAAGCGCCCCAATGCCCTCCTCGGGCCGCCGCCCCTGCTTCCCTCATCTCTGCCTTCCCCCAGGGACACCCGAAGCCCATTCCGGCAAAGAAAGAAGTGTCAGGCCCGCAAGAGGCGGCTGAGACGCGCTCGGGCCAGGCCCACCACACCTGCGAGACACCGCACCTGAGGAGTGCTACTAACAGGCGGCCGCCCGGCCTTCCCCGAGCACACCCCCTCGGCGCAGGGTGCTGCGCCGCGACTGGAATCTCCGTACCTGCTGGCCCGCGAGCTACAGGCGCGCGCGGCGCCTCCTCATCTCAGTGGCTCCCGCTCCCCCTCCGCCTCCCGCTGCCGCCGCCGTCACCACCGCCGCAGCCGCTGCTGGAGGCCGGGACACGACGAGCTCAGGACTCCACCGCCATGTCCGCCGCGCCGCGAACTGCATTGTGGGGGGAAGGGAAGAGATGGGGGAGGAGGAGGGAGAGAAAGAGGAGGACCCGCTGAGGGGAGGGGGTCGAGGCAGAGGGGCAGCCGGGGGGAGAGGGGGTGGGGAAAGAAGGGCAGAGCCCGGAAGGGAGTCCTGGCCCCGAGGGCGGGGAGCAGGAGAGGGGATGGACGCGGAGGACAGCCCGGAGAGGAGGCGCAGAGGGAAGGGTTCGGGTGCCCCCTCCCTTCGTCCTGGGGGCCTTAGGATCGGTAAAATTGGGGCGGGGGGGAGTAAAAACTGACGGAAGGAGGGCCTCCGTTCGGGGCCTTGTAGTGGCGGCAACAAACAATAGGGAGGGGGCGGAGGTGGGAGGGCAGCGCAATCACACTCCGGCTGAGGAGAGGGGCGTGCGCACGAGGAGGGGGCGGGCGGGGCCCCGCGGGGCCCTCTAGAGTTGGGGAAGCGGGGAGCCTCCCCCCTCCAAGCGGGGGTCGCCAGGTCCCGCTAGCGGCTTGGGCCCCGCTGGGGAGTAGCGGGAGGACGTCGGCGTGCCTCAGGAGGCAGGGGTCACGGGCACGGCCGCGCCGCTCGGCTGAGGCCCCCAAGCGGGAAGAAGGGCCCGAAAGCCGCCTCAGCGCCTCTCTCCGAAAGCTGTCCCCTCGGGGAAGGAAGCCCAGCCTTGGACATGCTCCCTCAGGTCTGGGGCACCGAACCTCGGTGGCTTGTGCGAGCTTCTGAGCACCAGCGGGGAGCTAGACGGAGGAAACCTCCGGGATCGACCTATTCACCTTTGCCACCAACCCACCAAAGTCCAATCTTCTTCTTTTTGAAATGCAGCCACTTCTGAAGTTGAGTTCAGCAGTGAACTTTCCAGAGCATCCTGCTACAAAAAGATTTTAGAAGTCATTTCTGTAGTTTTGACGCAGGTTTGGAATCAGCTACCATCCATGGGACCCTCACACCCACCTTGCTTTTATTGTTAGGTTTCTCCACGTAATTATTAAAGGCACGATCCGACAGGATTTATGGTTTGGTTAGTATTTTTAAGAGCCCAGCCTTGGAGATTATTCAACTAACCTCTGACCTCAAAGCTGAACAAATCACACAACCACAATGCTTGGATTTGACACATGCTAGACAGGAAAAGGATACGAAAAGGGTGGACATGGGGTGTGAGGGAAGATGCTAAATTTTAAGTATTTACAAGATACTACCTTATAAATTTTCTTATATGACTCAGACTAGAACCTGTAAGAGTTTATTTCCATCTACTTCCTACTACATGCAATAACTGCATACCTGTTAATTTATCTGTTTATGTGAATCTGAAGCTCGGTGAGAAGAGAACAAACATTACCCACTAAGTGCTAGGCATTGAGGTAGGGACGTCAGATATTTCACAATTTAATTCTCATAACAATCCCGTGAGGTCGGTACTATTACTCCCATTTACAAGTAAGAAAACTAAATTTCTGAGAATAACTGCATTTTACTCCTATGTGTCTGATTCCAAAGGGCTACCATATCATGTATAGAATAGTGGATTTAAAGGCAAAAAGAGCCCTGCCTGGCTTCAACACTTAATCAGCTGGATGACTTTGGACAAATGTACCTTATGAGTTCCCCCATCTACAAATTTTTAAAGGAAAAAAACCTACTTCACAAGGATTATGTAAGGAAAACTTCAACAAACGCTAAAGCCTATAGAGACATTAACATGTCCTTCACTTTAGTGAGTGATCAGTGTCCTTGGAGCAAGTGCAATTGAATAAAATTTCCTGATAACTTAATAAGAGCAAAGCACTGAGTTAGGTGCCGAGGGATACAAAGACAACTAGATTCCTGTCTTCCAAAAAGTTCACCATTGAGTGAGAGGTGGTTCCATTGAGCTACAAAAAAAGCAATAGGTCATGAACAAAGAGCTAGGCTAATACAGAGTGATAAATTTCACTTGGGTGAAACTAACAGAAGAGGTAGAACTGGACCTTGGAGGCTTGCCTGGTTTGTGCCAGACACATGTCTGTGATTCAGAGAACATCATTTAGTCTGGAATATGCAGAAGATAATGAGTGGAAACAAAAGCTGGAGCCAGACAGAATCCCCGTGCCTCTCTAATCTTATCCCTTCCAGATAACTCTCTTCTACCCCCTTGCGCATTCCTCAAGACCCAGCTCAACTCCTACCTCCCTTACTAAATCTTCCTGATCACTACCCCACTCAACTGAATGTGATCCCTCCATTCTCTGAATCCCTACATGTCACTTGTTGTAAATCTAACCTCAATAGATTATAAACTTGAGCACAAATACTTATATTTGTATATTTAATAATGCCTGCATACTTGCTGAGTTGAAATTTTTGGTAACTATAGTCTTATCACAACAAAGTACGTATAGAGTATTATTTATATGTAAAGAATGAGGAAACTTAGGGCATGAGAGGGCTTAATTAGTGGGCCAGTGTCATAATAAGTCACTAGAATATCAGACCTGTGTTTTTTCTATTGAATCACAAACAGTTTACTGGGAAATAAAATGTTGAACGTCTGCTCTGTAAAAATACACTGAAGACCTATTTGAAACTTGCAAGGAAGACTCATGATTCTGGTTAAGTCTCCAGATTTAGCATTCTAATCTTGAAATTCTGGGAACTCAATTTCATACAAACTCAGGTGGAAATTATTTGCAGCAAAAATTTTATTTCATCATATATAATGAGAAATATAAAAAACTAATATTGGATGAAAGGTGATTTGGTGAGTAAATTAAATCAGAACAAGAAAGGTAGCTCAGAGGTAAGTCCGCTCAAACCAAGCAGATTGGCCAGCAGATCATAAAGGGAACAAATCATAAAAGGCTCTGTAGTCCATTAAAAAAAAACAGGCTTTATCCTATAGTTAATGGGGAGTCACTGAACATTTGTAAGCATAGGAGAGATCAGATCTGCTGAAGTTTCCTTTTAAGCCCCATTGTTTTCTGCCATATACCTGATTTTTTCAAGGAGAAAGACTTCAGTGGTTGGTAACCTTTTATAGACCCTGGTTGATGAGTTCCAGTTGAAAACGAGTGCATCAACACCCATGATGTGGTGCTAACCATGTCTTCTCCACCTTTGCATTCTCAACACCCAGTACAATCCTGATATATAGAAAGTACCTAGAAATTAATTGTTGACATTCTAGACATTCTAAGTTGTCTATAAAGTTCAAAGGTTAACATTTTTGTGATTCTTACAAACAGTATGCAGGGCCAAGACTCAGAAGGTATGTGGTCACCTCAAAGATAGTGTAATGGATCTATTTCTCTTTCACTTTTTGCATTCCTAAAATTAAATAAGCTAAAATATGTTGAAATGCCTATTACACAATAAACATTCTACAAAAATTGAGTTCCTTTCTCCTTAAGATTTGGATTTCATGTGTCCTTAGACCACACTAGCACATGTGTGTACTTGCTGCCCATTGATTACATTTAATTTTTTCTGAGGATTTTATGTGTGGAATTTTAAACTACAGCCACACCCTTTAGCCTACTTTCTTAAAGCATTAGAAACAGACTCTTTTTTTAAGGTGGAGCTTTTTTTTTTTTAATGTGAATAAGATCTGAGAGGACATTAGAGTTCATACAGTTGCCTATACATATCAACATAGATATATGGCAGGAGGTGATGCTATAAAGATCACCTAGGATTCTATAATATAGGCAATTATGCCAGTTTAAAAAGTGGGTCTTTATCCTAAAGTTAGTGGGTCATATGGAACATTTGCAAGCAAGGCAGAGATTACTAGACCTTCCTTCTACAGCAAAACTTACATATGGTCGTTCAGCTTCTGTTTGAATTGTTTGTAGTTACAGAGAGCTCATTCCTTCCCAAATCTGTTCCGAATATTAGTTCTTCCTTCACTGAGCTGAAATCATCCTTCTATGTTTATATTTTGGTAATTCTGACCTCAAGAGCAACACCAACCTCTTTCTCTACTTCTGTAAAAACAAGGATGTGAACTAGATGAGCTAGGGTTGGGAAAGGGTCTAAAGGTCTATGATTCTGACATGAACTCCTTTTAGGTCAGCTGTTTCACCTCCCTCTGGATCAAATCTTATCTCCTTTTCTTCAGTCGCCTTATGACCAATTACTGTGTTAGGACAATCTATATTCTGATTCATCTTTGTATCCTAAAACATGTCATGCACTAAACCATTACATATATAGTCAAGTGATTTTCTTTCTTTTTAATTGAAGTATAGTTGTTATACAATAGTATATTGGTTTCAAGTGTTCCAATACAACACAGTGATTCAACAGTTACACACATTGTTAAATCCTCACCCCAGCTAGTGCAGTTACTATCTGTCAACATAGAAAGATGGTAGAGAGCCACTGACTATACTCTCCATGCTGTACTTCCATCCCCATGACCAATTTATATTATGATTGAGATCTTGCCTCTTTATCCCCCTCACCCACTCCACCCACCCACCCTTGCCCCCCTCCCTTGGTAACCACCAGTCACTTCTCAGTGTCTGTCAATCTACTGATGTTTTGTTCCTTCTGTTTTGCTTTGTTTTTATATTCCACAAATAAATGAAATCATATAGTATTTGTCTTTCTCCACCTGGCTTATTTCATTTAGCATAATACCCTCTGAGTCTGTCCATGTTGTTACAAATGGCAGGATTCCTTGCCTTTTTATGGCTGAATAATATTCCATTGTGTATATGTACCACTTATTCTTTATCTGTTCATCTGTTGATGGACACTTAGGTTGCTTCTATATCTTAGCTATTTTAAATAATGTGACAATGAACATAGGGGTACGTATATCTATTTGAATCAGAGATTTTTTTTGATAAATTCCTAGAAGTGGAATTAATGTATTGTATGGTATTTCTATATTTAGTGTTTTCAGAAACCTCCATACTACCTTCCATAGTGGCTTTACCGATTTACATTCCCACCAAGTGTACAAGGGTTCTCTTTTCTCCACATCCTCACCAGTGCTTGTTATCTCTTG